AATATTACTAATTACTAATTATCTAAATATTAACAAATTATAAAAGGTATGTCAAGGGAATTTCACACACATTATGTAATTAGGGAACAAGATAGAAAAAATAGGTGATATGTTTGTGTTTGATATGTATATTGCACCTTAAAATCATTTTTCCATCTTTACCTTATTGTTGATTGTTGCATTTTAAACATTGTTTTACAAATAATTTTATTTTTATTTTTGAGCAGTTTTATTTAAAGGGATACTACATCTTAGAATAAACATAAAATTCAAGAATTTTAAACTTGGCCAATAAGAGCATATATATTCATAAGTAGATATACCTGGTGTCATAAATAACATAACAGAATCCTTATATAATCCGATAAATCTAAAAAACTTAATAAAAATGCAATTAACTATTCAAAAACGCTTAATGTTATAATTAAGCGTTTTTTCAATAATTACTTAGTTCTATGAATTTTCCAATTTTCTAGATTTTACAGGGAGTCTGTTGTAACTTTATGACACCAGGTAAGTTCACTGATGAATATATACTCATATTGACCATTCTTGAGAATTAAATTTTAAGTTCATTCTAAGATGTAGTATCACTTAAATGTACCAACACTATACAAGATGTACTATAATTATTATTTCATCTCAAAATAGCCATTACTTACTTTATTTTAGTACTGATATTTGTACAAGAAAAGGGATTGGCAGAAATAGTGTTAACCAAAATTTTGAACTGAGAACTTTTTAATCACATTTTTTGCTGAATTTCAAATAAAGCGAAAAAATCAATGGTACTTGTATCCTTTTTGATTGACATAATGAAAACTGACAATGCCTCGAAGTGGGCAACAAAGTTAATTTACCAAAACAGCAGCACTTGTCCACTGGTTTAACTATTTAATTATTGGCGATTTTGTATGTCGTTTCTCAAGCATAAGTTTTACATTCAACTTTTTATAACCGTTTACAAGGATAATCATAAAACCAATAGAACTACATGTAGTTTATATTTTGATATTAATCTCTCAATTTGATGTAAAAACATGTAATAATGGGAAAAACATGTTTGATCGTCTAAAAAATCAAACATTCCATGTTTCTTAATAGGGAAAGTAGTTTGAGATTAATAGAGGCAAGATGTATTTATATAGTTCTTTAGTAAACTGGTGCCACATGAGGAAGGATATCGCTTAAACATGTGTCAATGGTCCCATAAATTCCTGTGTTGTTATTCAAGCAGGTGCCACTGCATTGTTAAATAGTCAGTTTTCTATGTAAACACCTATTGTGGTCATATTGAAATCACCACCATTTGTTTGTTGTCATAGCGATAGGAGTCAGACGACTTGTAAAAAGGCAACTGTTTTTTGACTAATTAGCTAAATGTCAATCGGATGTGAATGAATATGGTATTTTGAATGACAAATTGACTGCAGACACACAAAGACTAACATCTGGAAAATATGACAGCATTTTCTTTTAAAAAGTTGTTTGTAGTTGTAGATGGCTTAAGAATAACAGTTTCGTGTTAGCTTGGGAGGGCTACTTCAAGAAAACACATAAAATACATAAAAACTTTGTCCAACATTTAACATGCCTTGCTATAAAATTGAAAGTTGAACTGGTTTTTTGGAGTTTTTTTTCTGCTTTAATCCCATTTCTAAACAAGGGATTAACTTATCTGAACTAATCTGATACGGGTTGTTATGATTTAGCTCTGATTTGTTACTGCAAAGTGATACTGGTTGTTATGATTTAGCTCTGATTTGTTACTGAAAGTGCTACTGGTTGTTATGATTTAGCTCTGATTTGTTACTGAAAAGTGATATTGGTTGTTATGATTTGGCTCTGATTTGTTTCTGAAAAGTGATACTGGTTGTTATGATTTAGCTCTGATTTGTTACTGAAAAGTGATATTGGTTGTTATGATTTAGCTCTGATTTGTTACTGAAATGTGATACTGGTTGTTATGATTTAACTCTGATTTGTTACTGATATGTGATATTGGTTGTTATGATTTAGCTCTGATTTGTTACTGAAAAGTGATACTGGTTGTTATGATTAAGCTCTGATTTGTTACTGAAACGTGATACCGGTTGTTATGATTTAACTCTGATTTGTCACTGAAAAGTGATACTGGTTGTTATGATTTAGCTCTGATTTGTTACTGATAAGTGCGATTGGTTGTTATGATTTAGCTCTGATTTGTTTCTAAAAAGTGATACTGGTTGTTATGATTTAGCTCTGATTTGTTACTGAAAAGTGAAATAGGTTCATATGATTTCAATTGATTTGATTACTGAAAAGCTATATTGGTTAAATATTTAGATTTAATATGATTACAGAAAAGTAATCTTGATTAAAAGATTTAGCTTTGATTACTGACCAGTAATCTTGGATAATGAGATTCAGCTTTGATTTGATTACAGAAAAATAATACCAATTTATAAGATTCAGCTTTGATTTGATTACAGAAAAATAATACCAATTTATAAGATTCAGCTTTGATTTGATTACAGAAAAATAATACTTATTTATAAGATTCAGCTTTGATTTGATTACAGAAAAATAATTCTGGTTTATAAGATTCAGCTTTGATTTGATTACCGAAAAATATTTCTGGTATATAAGATTCAGCTTTGATTTGATTACAGAAAAATAATACCGGTTTAAAAGATTCAGCTTTTATTTGATTACAGAAAAATAATACCAGTTTATAAGATTGAGCTTTGATTTGATTACAGAAAAATAATACCGGTTTATAAGATTGAGCTTTGATTTGATTACAGAAAAACAATACCAGGTTATAAGATTGAGCTTTGATTTGATTACAGAAAAATAATACCGGTTTATAAGATTGAGCTTTGATTTGATTACAGAAAAATAATACCAGTTTATAAGATTGAGCTTTGATTTGATTACAGAAGAATAATACTGGTTTATAGGATTCAGCTTTGATTTGATTACAGAAAAATAAGTCTGGTTTATAAGATTGAGCTTTGATTTGATTACAGAAAAATAATACCGGTTTATAAGATTGAGCTTTGATTTGATTACAGAAAAATAATTCTGGTTTATAAGATTGAGCTTTGATTTGATTACAGAAAAATAATACCGGTTTATAAGATTGAGCTTTAATTTGATTACAGAAAAATAATACCGGTTTATAAGATTCAGCTTTAATTTGATTACAGAAAAATAATACTGGTTTATAAGAGTTTTCATCACTCAAAAGTGATATTGGTTCATTAGATTTACAATGATCTGATTACTGATGTGTGATACTGGCTGATATCGCTCAGATTTGATTACTGATGGAGTGATAGGGGTTAGAAGAATGAGCTTTGATTTTGACAAGTGATATGTGTTTGTTGTTATATATAGCTTTGATTGGATTATTGAATAACTCTGAATTCGTTTGGATACATTCAAAATTTAGTTATGCATCTATTGTTCTTGATTACATCTTCTCTTATGCATGTAAAGATCCATTATTTTTGCAATTACAGAATATTACATTTGTTAATTGAGGAATTATTTGGTAATAAATATTGAAATTATGGTTATGCAAATCTACATACTTCGAGTTCCGCAAATATAATAACCTAACAAATATTTATTTTGGATTTTTTTTTTCAAATAAAGTCTCAAATTTCAACCATAAAAAGTTTGAAATTTTCCAATTATGGCTTGAATAATATTTGATAGAATCTTGAGAGAAAGTTTAAGAAAATGTCTGGTTAGAAAATGATTTATGAGTTAAATTGCTAATAGTCTTAACATGTTTACATTTTAATTTTCATACATCAATTCTAATATTTACAATATGTTGAGATGATGTAATATTGCTGGTGTTTAAGTATAAACTAATTTATGCAATGTCGACCTCAGATTTCTAGTTCAATGCTAGCTACATACTCTCTTTTTATCTGAAGATTGTTGTAAAAACATGAAAGTACTTGTGAATTGTAAATAATATATGCATTATCCAGCAATATTGGACTTTTTCAATTGATAAATATATTTGTCTATACTTAAGACTTATATATGATATACGATATATGTATATTATATATATACTGAAAGGCACATGCGACATGTCATACAGAAATATCTTTATTTTCAAATGCTTATAGTAAGTAAAAACATTAGAAAAAAGCAGTGATAAATGAACTTTAAGGCAAAAAATAGAAAAAGTAACATATTAAATTAGTTTATTGAAAAACTGAAATTTCTCATGAGTATTGACCACAAAATTGAGGTTTCATATGTTCTCAGTAGACCTTTATGTATGCTTAGGCATGCTATAGTAAGTCTAAATTTCATATGGAAACAGTGGGCTTTCTGTGTATGTTTATGAAGATAGTCAAACAGACAGACTTGAGATGAAACAGAGTTTTAAATAGGCTACTATTTTTCTACACTAGATTGGTTTAATGATTACTGACAACAGGATGCAGTGTGCAATGAAGAGTTAATTTCTCGAAACTCTTTTTTAATTTGCATTGTGAGGGATCTGAGTACAAATACTACATGCTGCTAAATAGCCCCATCCTAATGACTAGAAGCTTTCTCCATGTCAGTGCCCCAGACTGCATCAGTGCCAAGAGGAAACTTGAGGGGATACTTAAGTATTATCTCGGCCAGGATTTTACCCTGGATAAGCAAGCTTGTGTCCAACTCACTGAGTTCAAGCTCATATTTGTCTTTGTAAATTGGGATTTCTTAAATTCTTTTTGTTTATCAAGGAGACTGATGGCATCAATTTGCACCATTCGACATCTGTGGTTCCTGCAACCCACTTAAACATAAGTACTTTATGATGCAATAATCACAAAATATGCTTTATCACAGAAGACCCTGTGTGATTAATGACATTATCAAACACTTAGTTTTTGTTTTTGAATTTGTGTTATAATCATACTAAGAATTTCTACTTGAAAATATTTATAATTTTGTGCCCCGAAAAATACTAACATTTTGTCCAAAATTCAGAGATCTTTGTTTTTTCCGAGCAGGAGAGTCCATCTTTAAACTGACCTAGTTTGTGTTGATTAGATACTAATTCTCGTTACATATTTATCTAGTTGTGGGAGTAACATCTTTATTTATTTAGTGAAATATATATTCTTCTACAAGGTCACTAGAGAGATGACCTAGCATACTCTATTCACTCTAGTATACTTGTATGTGTGCTAGACTTTGGGTGGTTAATACTCAGTCTGAAAAAACCTAGATGCATTTCCTGTATGTATTGTATTAGTCACTTGTATTCAGACTTGTATGTAATAATGAAACTCAGTCTAAGAAAATAAATTTGTAATACTTTAAACCTTCTTCTATAAAACATTGTCAGTTCAAAGAATATATTTGAAAAATTCAGATTTTGACATAAAGTGGTTTGGTCTCATGGGAAGCTCATTAAAACACCATGTTTCATGATATATAACTTAAAGGGATCATTAAGAGGTTTTCTAAATTTTTATGTGTATTGCAGCCACTAAAAGCATCAATTTGCACCATTTCAATTTTTGATCAGATGTCTGTGGTTCCTGTAACCAGCTAGTCGTTTAATGACTAATATTACTAATATGTTAAAGCATATTTTGCGATTAGTGCAGTCCTCAAACACTTAGTTTTAGTGGAAATCCAGAAACAACTGACATCTGATTGAAAATTGAAAAAGTGCAAAGTGACGCTATCAGTGTCTCCATTACACATATAAATACACATAAAAAACTTTAAAAAAAACGTTAACAATCCCTTTAACACCCTATATCTATTATGTCTTATTAAGTACAGGAGCACTACACTGCATGAAATATACATTTACTAACACTTATACAGCTAAAAATATATATGCACTTTACATTGCAGTTAAAAATACAAAACTCAGTTAGTGGTCTGTGCAAATTTCTATGAGCTCTTCTTACAAATACCACAGTTTACACAATCCTCACTTTAAATTCAATTAAAACTTTTAAACTTTAACTAGTGATTGTTGTTCCATAAAGCTGTGTCTATATATCGTACTCACAATTCCTAAATGCCATTCAAAGACTTTGTTTTCCCCAATGCTGTGTATTACCTCTTCCCAATGTTGGGTATTTGCTCTCCTGACATTGGGTATTTGCTCTCCTGACATTGGGTATTTGCTCTCCTGACATTGAGTATTTGCTCTCCTGACATTGGTTATTTGCTCTCCTGACATTGAGTATTTGCTCTCCTGACATTGGGTATTTGCTCTCCTTACATTGGGTATTTACTCTCCTGACATTGGGTATTTGCTCTCCTGACATTGGGTATTTGCTCTCCTTACATTGGGTATTTGCTCCCCTGACTTTGGGTATTTGCTCTCCTGACATTGGGTATTTGCTCTCCTGACATTGGGTATTTGCTCTCCTGACATTGGGTATTTGCTCTCCTTACATTGGGTACTTGCTCTCCTGACATTGGGTATTTGCTCTCCTGACATTGTGTATTTGCTCTCCTGACATTGGGTATTTGCTCTCCTTACATTGGGTACTTGCTCTCCTGACATTGGGTATTTGCTCTCCTGACATTGGGTATTTGCTCTCCTTACATTGGGTATTGCTCATCTTCTTGTTCTGTAATTAGTTCTCCCTTTGTTATTTTGCATGTGCTATTCTGGATGCCATGTATTTGGCATCTCTGATGATGTGTATTTGCCCTCCCTGATGATGTGTATTTGCCCTCCCTGATGATGTGTATTTGCTCTCCCCGAAGATGTGTATTTGCTTTCTAATGATGTGTATTTACTTTCTAATGATGTGTATCTGCTCTCCCTGATTACGTGTATCTGCTCTTCCCGAGGTTGTGTATTTTGCTCTCCCTGAAGCTTTGTATTTGCTCTCTTTAATGCCATATATTTGCCCTAGTTGACATTCTATTTGTGGCAATGTAACATATCAACTTCATCTAAAACCAACTCTAGTTAGCCGAATTTCATTTTAATTAAAAGTTTGGGCATTATAATTTTCTTTAATTGACCATTAACCGTTATACTCTATAATAATACTATAACATATTGATGTTGATTCGTGATCTGAAATACTCATAAATATTCTTTATATGTAAGTTATCATAATTAAGAAGGTAATGTTATCTTAATAGAATTACATACTTATAGATTGTCATCAAATTTTCATTTAAATAGTGTAATATCAGGACCAAACTGTACAGGTGTATATTGAATTACAGATGGGTTCCCTTATTTTCATTTATGAAAATAAAAATGCTAATACTTATATGAATAGAAAGTAGAGGTGTTCTTATGGCTTGAAAAAATACCAGTTTGTCTCACATGTTCATAACTAATTCATAATTAGCTAGATTAGAAGAGAATTACCAGCAGAATTCCAATGATTGACTGATCAAGAAAGGTCAAAAAGTCTTTTTTTTGTTTATCCAGACAGTACATATATGGACATTTATGATTGGTTAAAACTCTTAATTATATGCAATAAGAACATGATATTATGATTAAGAATACATGATAATTCATTATAAACACCAATTAAAAAAATAGTTTGACATTAAAGAATTAGGATACCATCTTTAAATAAATATCAATTTCAAAATGTCTTAATGTTGATGAACATTCTAACCTGAAATTGTTTTTTATTTTGGCAATTTTTATTTAATATTATATCATTTTCATGTAAAGGCTCATTGAGGCATGATGATAATATCAACTGTAAAATAATAAAAGGATACATATCGTGATGCATGCAATTGAAAGTATTTTTTGTGAACATTTGTGAAATAAGACAAATATTGACCAGCATTAGAAGTTATTCCTGAGGATTAGATGTTGATGAAATATTTTCAGCATTCTTGAAAAAAGTTAATTTAACCTGTTTATATTCATGTGAAATGAAAGTCATAGAAATTGAGATAAGTGAAAGGTTTTATTTAGATGTTTTAGCGCCTATATTCTTTGACATCTAAACACACATTGACACAGCTTTAGATTCCACAGTTGTATTGTAACAGGATATTTTCAATGACATTAATGGGGTCTTGAACCAATGTTTCAAATTTCGTGACATTCTTAAAAATAATTTCATGAACATCTGATCATCCAACAAACAGTTTAAAGGTACCTACTCATGTCTGTTCTAGAATTTAAACATAATTTTACCAAAGGTAAACAATGTGCAGATTCTTAACAGAATTATGGCGTGTATATATCTCATGTGTTTACAGTATTCGCACCAGTTTCCAGTTTATTCAGATCTTTTTTTCTGATTTTATATTCCTGCATTCTTCCAGACACTATTAGAGCACATAATATTGTTTAGATACAGGACATTGTATAGTAAAGAGGAGATAGGACATTGCACAAGACAATATGACATTGCACAATACATAGGACATTGTACAAGACATATGGAATTCTATCAGGTTAAAGGACAATGTACAAGACATAAGACATTGCACAAAACATCGGACATTGTACAAGACATAGGACATTGCACAAAACATCGGATATTGCGCAAGACATCAAACATTGTACAGGACATAGGACATTGCACAAAACATCGGATATTGCGCAAGACATCAAACATTGTACAGGACATAAGACATTGTACAAGACATAGGACATTGTACAAGACATAGGACAGTGTACAAGACATAAGACATTGTACAAAACATAGGACATTGTACAAGACATAGGACAGTGTGCAAGACATAGAACATTGTACAAGACATAGAACATTGTACAAGACATAATACATTGTACAAGACAAATAACATTGTACAAGACATATGGAATTCTATCAGGTTAAAGGACATTGTACAAAACATACAACATTGCACAAGACACATAATATGACATCAAACATTGTACAAGACATGTGGGATTGTATCAGGTTAAAGGACAATGTACAAGACAAAGGACATTGTACAGGACATAGGACATTGTACAAGACATAGGACATTGCACAAGACATCAGATATTGTATCAGACATATTGAATTGTATCAGACATTGGTCATATGGAATTGTATCAGGTTAAAGGACATTGTACTTAACAAAGGACATATGTTGCATTCGTTTACTTTAAGCTAATTAATTAATCAATGAATATATAACAGTTCTGGCATAACACTACTGACAAGTACAGCCATACCAACAGCTCTGGTCTGCATGTACTAAACTTGACCGTTTGATCTGTGAGAATAGTTGGACAGCTTCCAGAAGGAAATGATCTCAATGTTAACCTTGTTGAAATTAGTTAGTAGCTATATGAATAAATTGGAATGTCTACACCGTTTTTATTTGTGGTTTTTCTGGTTGAGTTGTTATGAGCAGTTGATAAATTTAGAGTGATATTGTTTCCAGATGGTACACTGTGGCTACATATTGTCATTTTACATGTTAAAAGAGAGGTTAAAGTGACTATTTTTCATTCCACTTCCTTTAACATATGGAATAATGTTATGAGAGTCAATAGCTAGTTTCTTCTATGCAAGTGGTTACTTTTCTTTGCTCTGTGAATTGGGTCTTATTTCTTTAAATTCTGTTTCCGAATTTTGTTTTTCCAAGATGGCTGTACATGTGACAATACTGTTAATAGTCATGTCTGTGCAGCTTTAAAACATCAAGTTGTTGATCATGAAACACCATGCAAGTATGTACTTGGGTTTCAGCAAATAAAATGTTTTTAATTACAAAACAATAGGATGCCTTCATTGTGTTGATCATAAAACTGTACATATGTACTTGGGCTTTAGCGTAAAAAAATGTAACTGCATAACAATGGGATCTGGATGTCATAATTGTGTTGGTAGATAGATGGGTAATGATGATTGAAATTGGAAAAGAAATTTCCACTCCATTTCTCTACATGCATCAAGAAAATATTGAAACGTGTTAGTTCTTACTATATTAACAGAATGAAGTTTTACGTGCTATTTTTCTGCTCCATGTGGGCTTATGAAGACGGGCAATTCCATGCAGAGTGCAATGAGGGTAATTTTGCCAGGACAGCGGCATTAGCCTGCTCTTTTTCCATTTTCAACTGTCCAAGGATCTTTAACGTGCTCAGTCTGTAGCACACAGGGCCTTGGTTTATTGTCCCATCCGAATGACTAAATGCTTTTTCCATGTCATTCCCACGAACCTGCATTACTGACAGGGTTGAAAAATCCAAAAGTATTATCTCGACCTATGCCGTGATTGAACCCTGGACCTTCAGGTTAGCGAACTGAGCCACCACGGCTCCCTACCATAATACCAGTTCAGTACATAACATAAACCTACCATAATACCACAACATATGTTTACGTTCTAGAGAAGACAGTTATTCTGTCAGGGTTTTGGTACAAAATTTTAAATGGCGCAAAATTCTTAATATGGACAAATCTGAAAGTATGTTTTGTATTTTGAAGAAAGGGACAGATTTGTCATTTCTGAGGGTTGGCAGAGTCTCAAATGCAGATAATTCTAGACACAAATGAACTTGAAGGTTCAAACAATATCACCGATTAGCTGAGCTGAAAAAATTCAGTTTTAATTTGTTTATATAAACCAGAGTTAAAATGCACTATATCTGGTCTATGAGGATAGATTTGTAGCTTTTTGAGGCAGTTTTATTACCTTATTTTTTATGTATTTCTGCATATTTGTTGCATATTCCAGGATGAGTGACAAATGTAAATATATTCTGAAAGAGACTAGATTATGTATTGTATAAATACTTAATTTGTATTCAAATAAGATTAATTATTGTGTATTTAAACAAGGTTTGTGGCAATAAAGTTTTTAATATTCATAGCTTGATTTCACTTAAGATCATTTACCACATATTGCATTAAATTCATTCATGAGATAATCTTAAAGGGTTTGTACAGAAGTTTCCTTTATTTTTTTTATGTCTATTGGGGACACTGATAGCATCAATTTGCACAATTCCAATTTTCAGTTAGATGTCTGTGGTTCTTGCAATTCCTCTTAAGTGTTTATTGAAGTCACTATTTTTGCAAAAATCCTCAGATAATATTGTAAACACTACAGATGTCCATGAAATACACAAAAAGTTGACAAAACCTACCTTGAAACTTCTAATGTGTATCTCAGATCCCATTCCGATTTTCATTCAGACTTCTGTGGGTCATGCAATTCTACTTGAAGTAAGTCTTAGCTAAGCTGCAGCAATCGCAAAGGCTCCTAGATATTTTAAGCAGGCGTCATATGGTGTATACTATGTATGTCCTATACTTATAGGAATAATAGACCTCTGATAGAAAATATAAATAGAAGCCCTAATTGGTCTCAATACACATAAAACAGCACAAAAATCTTTTTACAACCCCTTTAAGTAAATTAGATATGAATG